ACCCTACCCTACCCTACCCTACCCTACTCTACTCTACTCTACTCTACTCTTCCACCTTTCCCAGCATTATGGACTTCTCAAGGGAGCTGGGTCTTTGCATTGATTGATTGCTTGACTGATTATGTCCCATCAAGACAGTACAGCATACAACACAGTACAGTACAATACAGTAGACCTTCTTCAGGGTGATTTGGCCCCAGCTTGGTCCTTCAGGTCTTCCAATGGTGTACCAGCATTATAGACTCCTCAAGGGAGCTGAGTCTTTGTGCAATATGTCCAAAATATAATACTTTGAACCTGGTGCTTTGTACCTCAAGTGAGAACTCTGGGTTGATTTCTTCTATGATCCATTTGCTTGTTTTCGTGGCTAACAGATGTTTTACAGGTAGTCCTCAGCTTACAACCACAGTTGGGACTGGACCTTCCATTGCTAAGCGAAGCGGTCCTTAAGTGAGTTGTATCCAATTTTACGACCTTTTTTGCCATGGTCATTAAGCAATTCACTACAGTTGTTAAGCAAATCATGCAGTCGTTAAGCGAATCTGGCTTCCCCCATTGACTTTGCTTGTTGGAAGCCCCCTGGGAAGATTGCAAATGGCGATCAAGTGATCCCAGGATGCTGCAACTGTCATAAATACATGCCAGTTGCCAAGGACCCAAAATTTGATCACGTGACCACGAAGACGCTGCAATGGTCGTAAGTGTGAGGACTGGCCGTAAGTCACTTTTCAGCACCATTGTAACTTTGAATGGTCATTAAATGAATGGTTGTAAGTTGAGGACCACCTGTATTTGTTTGTTATATTTCTTTCATATGTGTGAAACCCTTCAACTCAGCAGTGGAAAAATGCTCTATTTCCTTGATTTGGCACAAGGGGGCTAAGATTTACATTTTGAAGCAAGCTAAAACTTCCTTCTGGGCCTTTGTCTCTTCAAAGGACTGGAAATTCCCTTCCTTTCTCTGGATGTATCTTCAGCACTGCGCATGGTATAGACATGCCCATGCTGTGGCATCATGCCAGGGCCTTAGCAGTGACCACACCACACCATTGTGGTTAACTGAATGACCCCATAACCAATTAACCCAGCATTCTGACATTACACAAGCCCCGGTATTGGGACCACCCCACGTGCTAGGTCAAAATGTGGTTGGCATTTAATGTTGCTCCTGCCGTTCTGATGCACAAGAAGAAGAAGACAAATAGAAGATGCTGATGTCAGTGATGTAAATGATAAAACAAATGTGGATTTCATTAAAAAAGACAAGCTGTTTCATTAAAAAAGACCTGCCCCCTCCCCCATGCCAGTGCTCCCTAGAATTGAAGGATTTCAGTCCCCAAATGCCCAGACACTGGGAGACACACCTGGAGGGTATCAGCATTGGGTGGGGGAGCTCTTAGCCGAGGAACAGAAATGTCTCATTATAAGGTGGCGGGTTGAGCTGAGCTTGAAACCTTGCTTCAGAAGTAAAAAAACCCCTATTTACTCCTCCAGGACAACTCTCTAGTTTTTGTCCTAGCAGTGCCCCCTAAAGCCTCTGGTAATTTGACCTTACACTGAGAGGTCTAAATAAGTTGGATTCAACTTTTTTGCCTCCAAAAAGCCTCTTACGTATCATCCCATCTGTACAACGGCCCAACTGGTGAGAACTAGACCATGCTTTTATCATTCCAGCAAATGCTGTTAGAAAGGTGGGTTTAGCCATCTGATAATTTCTGATTTTGATTCAAGAAAATGTTGAAGTGACTGGCTTCCATTTGGCCTCAGCATTCCATTAAACTGGGACTGGGGAGGAGGAGGAGGAGGAGGAGGAGGAGGAAGGCCTGCCTAAGAACTTTCTAACTGAAGGCCCAGATCCAAAAGCAATTTCTCTTTCATCCAGTGAATGAAAACTGCTAAAATGCAGGTAAACGTCTCTGCTCAAGACTAGAATTTTATCAAGAATGAGGGAAGGAAAATACACCGTGGTGCTGTAGCAGGACAGCAGTGGCTTAAGAAAGAAGGATTGTGGGCTTGGCAGTACAGAAAAGGAATGAGGTTTTGCAAACCACAGCTTGAGGACAAAGCAAGGCCAGTGCCTGGGAGTAAAACTGGCCTTGGGCTGTTCCAATGAGGTTGCAAACATTTGGGGGAAGAAGGGCTGGTATGTTTAGTGGAAAAAAACAGTGACTTAATTTTATTTATATATTTATTGACCCGGGATCATCTGCTATGTCTCAGGGATCGGTTTCAGTTGCTGGCCCGTTCCTACAGGACGCTGCCCTCCTCTTAGGGCTAACGGGGGCCAAAGTGGGGCTGCTTTTTTTTTTAATCCGGTAACAAATCCAACCGCAGGAACAAATCCAGTTTTGGCACAGCAATGTTTTTTTTTTTATTTTGCTGTCTCTCTCTCTCAGGCTAACATTCGCAGGTCCTCCCCTGCTCAAATCCCGCCTCGTGCCTTTCCATCTTTCTTGGTTTCCTCCAGGCAAAGGAGATGGATAAGTTTGTCTCCTTCCTACCGGAGACATCTTGATTTGCCTTCCTGCTTCCATCATTCCCCGTTCTGGCTCCACTTCCTCTTCGTTCAGGCCTCTCACTGCCCCTTCTCTCTCGGCCCTCACTTCTAAATTCCTCCTCTAAGTCTTTCCCCAGATCTCAGCTGCTTCTTCTTCTTCTCCTTTTTAAAAATGTTTTAAACACCTGCGCATCCCTCCCTCCTGTTTCTTTCCTCCCACTCTTCTGTCTCTCCCGTCAAAGCCCAGCCAAGGTGCCTTTTCACACCTAAAGGCTTCTGGGCAGAGATCCAGGGAGCAAAATCTCCTCTGTCTAACAAGGGGAGGCTGTGTGTGTACACATGCGTGGCTGTGTGTGGTTATTTCCAGGGGATAAAGAAAAAGGAAGGGAAAAAAAAGCCCATTGGGGGTAGATCCACCACTATTCCTCCTCCTCCTCCTCCTCTGTTTCTCTCTCCTTTTTCCTATTTTAATGCCTCCACAAACAGAAGCAACTTTCCTTCTCTGGTCAATATGGGGAGGGGGGCGTTGGGGGGAGAAATCGAAGCTACAAAATGGCCATTTTGGTGCTTTGATGATGCTCTACATACACCTTGGCCCTACATACCCATATATAGATCG